TTTTTAAAAACCTCAATAGCTTCACTTTCACATCCTACTGTAATGATCTGTTTCAATCCTTCCATAAATTTCTGTTGCTCCAATGAACCTGGCTTATATACATTATTATAATAAATATCTCGTAATCCAAGGAGAGACTGTCTTTCAACATCAATAATTGACTTCTTCTCAATAAAATACGTGACTGTAATGGACCACAATAATTTAGCAGCGACCGCTTGACACTCTGAATTATTTTGCAAAGCAAATAACATTAAATCATGCAAAACACAGTACTGTGTATTTATGAACTTCATCTGATAACCTCCTAATCGACTAATATGGAATGTCTTGAAAACTTCTTCATCAGTATCCATTCCTAATAAATTCCAAGATTCATAAAGCATGGAAGCAATTTTATCTCGAATTTCACCGGTTATTTGATAACATGCTTGTTTAGGAGTCTTTGGTAAGTATTCAATCGAAATTGGGGTAGCAACAGCCAACTGTAATAGAGACTTAAGAAAATTACCCCAAATGATTATATTAAAATTTTTTTGGCTTTCAAAAGACGGAATAAAATAAGCATGAAGAAGAGGCTTTATAAGTTCTAAAGAAACTACGCAGCCTTCAATCAATAAAGAATATAGCGATAACCATTTACTGTTTGGTATGAATTTTCCTCTTCTTATAATATTAACAGCGAAGAGTAAATCAATAAGGTCCTTACTTTGGAAATCATCAAGCAAATACTTTGAAGAATCAAAAAAGTCTGCCTCATTCTCTGCTCTTAAAATAGCTTCAAACCCACCATCTCCACTAACTGTTTTTCCAATTCTTGCAATAAAACAAAAAATAGTTGACAATTCGACCTGAATTTCTACGAGAACCTCCTCCTTAATGATTGGATCAACTGGGGCTTCTATGAATGGATATTCGCTTGGAAATAAAAGTCCGAATTTATGTTTAGGTTTGTAAAACCCATTTTCTCTTGTAAACCTCTCGTACTTAATTATTGCCCTTGAGATACTAGGAAGTAATTTGCCCAACGAATGGCATAATGTAATTTCTTCTTGATTCTCTTTAGTGGCTACCTTCCATAGGAGCGTACAAACACAATTTAATATACTGCAGGCTATTCTTGACGCAGCAACATCTGTTTGCCCTTGTAGGACTTCCATGGCCCATTCGACTGATTTTGTGAGTAAAATTTTACATGTTATGGGTTCTTCTATGATCTTCGTAAAAAATAAGCGATGAATTAATAGCAACTTACTGATAATAACCCTATGGGCATTCTCCGTCTTAGAATTTTTGTTGCTAATGTAAACTTTGTTGGTTATGTATAAAACATCATCAATTCCTAACCCTTTGACACCAATTGAATCTATAAATATCACAATCAATTTCATAGTTTCGATATCATCTATGTTAATATCATCAGATAAAATATCATGAAGTGAACCAATAATCAGTACTTGACTATCAATGTAGGAATCAGATTTCAAAGAAAGGAAGTATGCACCTGACTCGCTTATATTTCCCAAAGTTTTTAAATATTCATCAAGATCTGGTGAATTATCAGATTTTATGGCAAAATTCATAAGAATAGAAACTATTCTACAAACTCGAATAGAAGTTGTTGTCCAATTCGTTTCTGCTTGAAATAAAATCTTCGAAATATTTTCCATGATGAACGTCCCAATTGGTGGTAAACAAGTGTTTCTGCCTGTAAAAATCGCAACTAAGTATGAAAAGCTATCATTCTTGAAAACAGTATCTAGCATATAGACAATTGCACTAAAGGTAGAACTTTTCAAGCTCTGCTGAGTTTCAGATTGTGGTTGCTTCGTGGAAATATCAGCAATCGAAAATAATGCTTTCAATAATTCATCAAAATACCTAACCAATTGATGTAATTCTATTTGGTGGAATTCAACAAGCTTCGTTAACAATTGACGAATTCCCATATCTCCATTTTTGAAATAATCTTCATATTGAAGTACATTATTAACATTAATATCTGAGTTAAGAACTTTACCGACATAAAATGTAGATATGTGGATATTCGCAATGGTCGAATTATCGATGATAGAAAATAGTTCAACTGAACAGTTTTCGGTATCATTTAAAATTAGACCACTTCCAGTCTTGAACAGAAATGTACTTTCTGCAGTGAGCTCGCCATTAACATATAAAGAGAATAGAACGTACTCGTGTCTTTTAACGCTTTCTGGAGAAAATCCATTGATTCTCAAAATCTCTCCTATATATTTATTTGTACCAGTACTCACAAATTGCCAATCTCTCACACAATTCTCGCTTCCATTTCCAAAAACTAAATCTCCTTCTGGAGCGCTTACTTTCATTGTCAATAAAGCATTCTTTTGGGCGTTCTCCACTAAAGAAATCTCACCCATTATTAGGTAAAGGCATTCATATTCTCCTAACGGATAGAAATGAATTGGTTGAATATTTGGAATTCTATTCAGTGTGCTATTCATATCTAGTTCGAATTGATGTTTAATGCATCTCAAACTTACAGCTAGTCCTTTAAATTTCAGGCTAAATGTATTATCGGTATCTGGTCCTTCAGGTATTATATCCACCATTTTACCCCATCCATTTTCAACACCATTATCAACTTGATCGTGTTCGAATTCGACAACAGGATCAATAGATGGTTCAAAAAGTTGCATGTGTACTAAATTTTCGTATGATGATTCCATTGCTTCATTGGAAAATAGTTTGCTAATATCGGCTACTCCAACAGCTACCCTCTGCCTGCTTTTATCAAGCAGTGAGTTCTTGTTCAAACCCCTAACGCTCAAATCAATTTCCTCTACCACCTGTGCTACCAAATAAACATTTCCTGAATTTTCATTTAATAGAAGATTCTTAAATAATGCAGTATTCATTGTTTCAAGATCATTTTTTGAGGATGGATGATTAACTCTAACTGCAAAAGTTTCCGTTATTCTGTCTCTGTTACAGCAAATATAGAAATATATTATGATCCCTATATATGTGGTAGAATGAGAATTTGAGCAAGCTTGAAAAGATTTCAAATCTAATAACACATCATATTGCAATTTTTGAGAATAAATCTTCTTGGATTTAGTGGTTAAAGTAAATCCGGGTTCCTCAAGATGCATATTAGTGAGATTCTCCGGAGGAAGGCAACATAGTAGCTGATCGAACGCGATTTTCAGAGGAATAGAATTAGAATACGAGAGAAGGTCACCTGTCAATATATCTCTGGGTAGTATAGCATTATATCCATAAGTATCAATATTTTCTTTACTAGAACCATTCAGCAGGAATGACAATCCCTCATATTCCGAAGCGAGAACCTTGGGAATTTTATTCAATAAGTGGATCACGGAGCTTTTTGCCATTTTAGTTTCTCTTAATGTTAAGATATCATGAAGTAATTTAAATCTTAATTCATACAAATCATAATATATCAGCGATAATTCATAAAATAAGTGAAACTTTCCAATTGAATAAAACGTAAATATATGTGATGTCAACAACTCAATTGCATCCTTAATCACTTTTATAAAGCAATTGGTTTCGTTTACAGCTTTTATGGGAAATAGTGGCATACGCATCTCAACTGATTTGCTGGTATCCAGAGCATGGGTTTTGGCCTTATGAACTTCCGATGAAAATGGTATTTTCTCTAATATTTTAACGCAATTCATTGGAAATACTGAAGCAGAAATATTTTGAGTCGGAATCTCATCAAGTTTAACTGAAGTAATGCTGAAATCATTTGGAAATGGTAAGGTTACTGCATAACCTCTTCCCCATTTATTATTACTAGTTATCTCAAATATGTAAACTTCATCACCAGGATATAAACTTTTCAAATTATCATCATTAACTCTAGGATACTTTTCAATGGTAAAAAAGTTTTGACAATTATTCCTCTTAAGAATACATCGGTAGGCTTCCAAGTCAACATCGATTCGTGTAGAATGAAAATATAACAAGGATTGATATAACTCGAATTCGCAGTGTGTTTAACTAAATCCCTTAAAATTTAGGTTTTTCGGGCCTCGTGATTGATTGAGTCAGATTCGATTCTGGTTGCGGGGGACCTGCAGCATTGTATAGGAAATTTTTGAACCAAAATTTCGATTTCATACTTATACTACCCTTTCATACAC